GACTGTCTCCATTCTGACTGAGCCTGACCCCATCTCCTCATATTGATATGTAGAGAGCTGGCTGGACTCCTGTTTATCCTTCAGTTGGCCTTAAGCAATGTGCATTGGTCTAGCTGAGGTGCTGGTGATGGTCTTTGAAGGTGCCATGTGTGTTTCCGTGGTAACCTACACCTGCTGCTCTTTAATGTGAGCCGGGTTGAGACAGGACGGTAGAGCTAATGCTCCGCAGCGCCAGCTGGGATCGAGCCTCGAGACAGAGGCTAGGACTTCCTGGGACTGGAAAGGCTACACCAAAGCTGAAGCACCAGACTTTCCAAAACATTAGATACTATATAATGCAGATTACTCTCTGCATATAGCAGAGGTAAATTGAGGCCACCCACCTAGCTCAGCTCATAGCAGTCTCTTTCCCACAGTTCTCAGTCAATCCTCAAGCCACTCCCCCACTGAATAAAACTGGGTGAGACCCTGGGTCTGGGTCACTCTCTTGGTTCCAGAAAGCCATCTTCATGACTGGACTTAGAGCCCCTTGACTCCCCAATGATTTTTTTTTAATTTTTTTTTATTTTAATTTATGCATGTGTGTATGTGTGTGTGTGTGTGTGTGTGTGGCCAGCTCAGCTCAGCCCACCAGGGGGCGGGGGCTGGCTGGCATGTGGTGCTGGGGGATTGAACCGCGGTCACCTGTGCTTTAGCTAAGCTTGTTTTAAATAGGTGCTTTAGACCACTGAGCCATCTCACCAGCCCCTCCCCAATGATTTAAGATATAATTTTCTTTCTTTCTTTTTTTGGCGGAACCAGGGATTGAACTCAGATCCTTGCGTTTGCCAGTCAAGAGCTTATCCTACTGAGCCATCTCCCGGCCCCTTGAAGATATAATTTAGTGTCTTTATTTTCACCATGGGTTGCATTGTAAGTGGTAGATTGGAATCAATTTGATGGGATTCCAATAACATAACTTTGGGATTACAAATATTGGCTTCTTGGACCGAGATGAGGACCTGGAAGAGTCTCCTACAAGTTTCTTTTGCTATTGTACCAAATTATCCAAAATCATGATGGGTTAAAACAACACCAATGCATGATCTTCCCATTCTGAAAAGTAGTAGTATAGAGAACAGCTTACTGAATCGGAGTAAGGAGTTGGCAGGGCTGTGCCTCTTCTGAGGCTCACAGGGAAAATCAGTTCCCTTCCTTTTGCAGCATAGAGAGCCTGCCAGTTCTCCTTGGCCTGTGGCCCCTCCCAGTCTTCACAACCTGCAGCACAGTATCTTTCCCTGGCTCCCTGCCTCTCACTGGCCACCCTCATTTCCTGGCCTCTTCCCACCCGCTTCCTTCCCTGGCAGGGAAGTGTGACTGTACTGGGCCACTCTCAGGGCCCTCCACAGCCGCCCTCCCCAGATCCTCCGCAGGGCCTTGCCCACCTGCAGAACATACCCCAGCAGAGCCCTGACAGCCAAGGTGTTTTCCAGTTTCTCAATTTGGATCCCAGCTCATTTATTTTGAGAATGTTTTTCTTTTCGGGGAGAACATGCATGAGCACTCCTATAAAGTCTGCATTTTGATATATAACTTTTTTTTTTTTTGAGACAGAGTCTCATGAAGTTGCCCAGACTGGGCTTGAAACTGCAATCCTCCGATTTCAGCCAGCCAGAGTGCGGGGTGACAGATGTGCCACCATACCTGGCTGGAGCATGATTATGTCAGCCTAATGTCTAACAACGCAAGGAGCTACGGCACAGTCCTGCGGCCATAGTGTTTCTTCTTGTTATCCACAGCGCCTTACTTCCTGAGTGCTTTGTGAGTTGAGTATGTGCTACTCATTTTTTGGAGGTTCATTTATGGTGGAGGTGCTCTAAGACCTGAACTGAAACTCAGGTCTTGTGGAAGAACCATGCCAACCAGGGTACAGTTTCCCAATCAGTGAAATACTTTGAGACCCTCCCTGACCCTGCCTGGAGGGTGGCTTTCATTTAAAAGTCCTCAAAGAACTGTCTTCCCCTGCACAAAACTGCTCATGCAGCCAAGTCCCTTGCCGCTGCCCTCTACAAAGGCCGATGTCTTCAGTCTTGACTTGTTGTGAGGGCATGATATTTTGGGATTCCAGCTCTGTGGTGGCATCTCTGTGACGCTTCCTGCTGAAGCATGTCCTGGAAGACCCTCCAGGCGCTCCCTTCCCAGAGGCCCCGGGTCTCAGGAATCAGCAGATCTCCCAAGTTGCAGCCCTCAGAGTGTTGTGACCTGTGTGTCTGTTAGCAGTGACACTCCTGCTAACCATGGACAGCAACCGGTCAAGGCCTCACCCCTCTTAGAACATAGCCTGCTTGGATGAGCTTTGTTTACTTTCATTCTGAAGCCGTGACTCTGCTTGGTGTCCAGGCTCAGTGGCAGGGTGCAGGGGGCCCCTCGTGCGTCCAGCTTGGTGTCCTGCTGCTTGGCAAACCACAGCAGGAACGTGGGGAAGAAACAGGCTATCACCCAGATAACGGCCTGTTTTCACTAGAAGAGCGCATTTTCTACTTCACAATTAACAAAATGTTAAAAATTATCATCCGAGTTGCTCCTAAAGGGCTGAAGATGCCTTCAGCATGTAGTTCTTAACCTCGGCCTGCCAGATTGTAGGCCTGGTAGCTTTGGGAAACGGTACAGATGTCCCCTTGCCTCCTGGATGAGAAGTGGCCCCGGATTACCCCCAGCAGCTGGCGGTAGCGGAGCATGTACAGGTACGGGAGCAGGGCGCGGGGAAGCATCATGAACACCTCGCTGTTGGTTGCCAGGAGCCACCTGTGAGCGCTGTCAGTGATGTGGTGGTACTTGGCCAGCATGACGTCCAGGGAGAACACCACCCCCGCGCCCACGTACAGCGTGATCAGCACCATGTGGATGAGCAGGGTGCCCCTGGCTCGCGAGTAGCCCTGCGCACAGCCGCCTGAAGGCCTGGCCTCTACGTAAATCCTCCAGAAGCAGTAGGTGATGACGGCTGCACAGAGAAAGAGGACGCACAGGGTGCAGGTGTGGGTGATGGTGGCCAGGGAGCCGTGACTCTGCTTGGTGTCCAGGCTCAGTGGCAGGGTGCAGGAGGCCCCTCGCGTGCCCAGCTTGGCGTCCTGCTGCTTGGCAAACCACAGCAGGAACGTGGGGAAGAAACAGGCTATCACCCAGATAAGGGCCACAGTCTTCCGCGCAGCCCTGCCGGATGAGAAGGACAGGTAGTGCAGAGGGTGCGAGACCGCCAGGTAGGCGTGCAGCACAGTGGCCGTGAAGGACAGCACGGTGCTGATGTAGGCAACGAAGACGCCGTCTCTGAGGATGCCGCAGACGATGCGGCCCAGCTCCCAGCCCCCCAGGTTGCTGGAGGAGATGAACGTGCGGAAGACAATGTAGGCAAGGTCTGAGAGGAGGATGTTGGCCAGCAGCAGGTAGTGTGGCTGCTGCCGCAGCCGCGGGTTCCGCAGGATGGTCACCAGCAGCAGGGGGCTCAGGGCCAGCGTGGCTGCAGCCATGAGGCTGGAGGGAAGCAAGAGCCAGCGCAGAGCCGACGTGGGCTCCCTCATGTCCCTGAGGTCCTGGGAGGCATTGCTGGCCTCCTGTGGCAGGCAGGCGGTCTTGCTGAGGAGCTCGGCTGGAGTCGGCCAGGCTGCGGAGCTCAGGGAGCAAGGCTTACTCCCCATGTTGCCCGTAGGTGTGGCCGGCTGCAGGTGGTCCATTTTGTACCTGTCTGACATGCTGACCTGTCCTTCAGGAGTCGTGGTGTTGTCCTTTTTCTGTAGAGATGCCAGGCTGGGCCTTAGGAAGATCTGCTTTGACAAAGGTAAAAACTGAAATTTAGTTCTGACGTGGCTCCTGTGTTTACACAGCTCCTTGCAACTGTGGGTGTGGGTGCCTGAAGCAGAGCACCCGTCAGGCAGGGAATGGGACCATGAGCATGGGGTCCCCACACCAGCGAGACGCACTCGCAGGCAGCGCGTGGGGCAGGCTCCCTCCGTTGGTCTGGGCCTGGGGCCGCCAGCCAAGGACAGCAGCAGCCACCATGGAGCTAGGCTGGCTGAGCCGCGGGCCTGCCTGGTCCCTGGCCTGCCGCCGCGGACTCAGAAAACGGGGCTGTTCTGGGAGAGCTTGGACGTGTCCGCGTGCATCCCCACAGGGCCCCAGCTGGCTGCTCCTACGTCCGTGTGCATGTGCACCTGCGCACATGCCCGTATGCCGCCCCTCAGGGCTCCGTGCAGAAGTTCTCTGCAGTCACAAGCCCTCACCTGGCTTGTGTGGGTTTTGTGTGTGATAGGAATGTCTTTGCCACTGAGGAAGAGGAGGCCCGGCTCACAGACGCATAGGAGCTGGTGGGGAGGAGCAGAGGGGAGAAAAGATCGTTGGACAGCAGATCCCAGGGCAAGTGGGACAAGTTGGCTGTTGGTCACGCACTGTGGCGGGTCCACGGCCTAAGTTGCTGCACCGCGGGGGCGCGGGCCCAACTGAGCCCCCTCCCACAGTGTGTGGGCAGCTTGCCTCACTCGTCTCTTTGTGCTACTTTCCTGAACTGTGAAACAGGGACACTGTCGAAACTGACAGCATGGAAACACTGCAGAAATCCAGGGGTGTTTTTATGAATTTTTTAAAGTGTGTGTGTGTGTGTGTGTGTGTGTGTGTGTGTGTGTGTGTGTGTGTTTAAACTGCAATCCCGGGACCAGGGAGAAGGTTCAGTGGAGTAAATGCTTCCCTGGCAAGCACAAGGGCCTGAGTTCAATCCCCAGTTCCGCCAAAAAATAAATAATAAACTGCAATCCCTCCAAGGCCTCAGTGCCGCTGCCAGCAAGCTTTCTGGTCATCACTTCAAAGCACTGTCCCCAGAGAACCTTGCCCCAAATCTACTGCAGCCGCCATAGCCTGGCCACTCCCCAGGCGGGGATTTCAGGGGAACCTTCCTGAGAGCAAGTGGAAGATGTGTAGGGTCAGAGGGAGACAGGAATCTCAAACCCTGAGCCCTGTAACATGGATGCGTACTGCCTGCGCCTGGCCAGGAGGTGCTATCCACCGCTGGCCCCTTCAGTCATCAGCCTTCGTACCACTCCTTGCCCTCTCCTTTTGCTCTGTACACAGCGGTATCCTCCTCCCTGGACTGCAGAGGAAATCTGGCTCTACCTCTCCTGCGTGGTCTTGACCCATTACTTAGCTGCTCTGGACCTCTGTGTCCCTTCCAAGGGCCTGTGGTGGCCTCATGTGTCTCAGAGGGTACAACAGGTCACCCACAGTGACTGTGCTCAGCACAAGGCAGCCTCCCTCCTAAAGGTGCTGCCCAGGCTGGCTCAGCCCTCGAAGCGCTGGGACGTGGTAGGACAAGTAAGGCACCGAGCAGCTGAACCTCCTTAATTCACACGCTGGGAGAATCACCAGGAAGCGTTCCGAGGTGCTTTCTTCTCATCCACAAGCCCTTTCTCGAACGAGTTCTGTTCTCCTGTCAGAGTCCCCTCTCCACACCTCCTGATGCCTGCTCCTACACTGGCCAGGGCTGCAGTGCCTCACTCTGGTGGTGCATTATGGGCCCAAAGCGTGCTTCTGAGGCTGCACATCTCCCTCTCAAGAGAAACCACCATGCCAGGGGACTGGACCTGCCTTTCCGCTTCTGCTGTTCTGCCTGTACTCCTTAGGTGCCTCTCAGTGCTTCTGTAAACTCCACTGCATGTCTAACTGGCCTCAGGCCAGGAGAGGGCAGAGGCCTCCCCAGAACAGGCACGTAGGGTGGGATCCGGGGGCCTCCACCATCCAGCTCTGCAGAACAGCCATGCAGTCCTTGTCTTTGAAAGCAGACTCCCAGAGCAAAGGAAACTTGTTCATGATAACCACAGAGCAAAAATGTGGCTAAGAGCTACATCCTGCTGATAGCCTGCAGCAGGAGTGACAAGCACAAGCTCCTGGGAGGCGGCATGGTGGAACCCTGCAGTGAATGATCTGCTAAGTGCACTAAGAGCTGCCTTCTGCTGAGAACAAGTTTATGACTGAAAAGTACACAGAGCAATCCCCTCAAAGTGAACACCACTCTGGTCCCACCTGTCCTTGCTGGCCTGCCCTTCCTCACTGGCCTCCCTCCAAAATGAAGATGTGGGTACCCGGGGCCAGCCCTGCATAGATAGGTAGATTTGCCTTGTTATGACAGAGTCATGAGGCAGTAGGGGCACTGGTTCTGGTCACCCTCAACCCGTGATGTCTGCTCCATCCCCACCCTCAGCCTGAGTTGAGATGGCCCTGCTGGTGTGGGTTCTAACCAGGCTTGGACTGACACAGGAGGCACACAGCTCAAAAGTTCCCTTTAGAAACCCAATCTTGGGGCTGGAGAGATGGCTCAGTGGTCTAAAGCACCTACTTAGAACAAGCTTGACAAAGCACAGGTGACCATGTTCGATCCCCCAGCACCACATGCCAGCCAGCCGCGCCCCCTGGTGGGCTGAGCTGGCCACACACACACACACACACACACTAAATAAATGTAAAAAAAAAAAAAGAAACCCAATCTTGGTTTTTCACTGTACCTTGATAGTCTGAAGATGCTGGAGCCCTCTAGGCAGCTGGAGACAAACTGAAATTGTGTGTGTGTGTGTGTGTGTGTGTGTGTGCTGGGCGGGTGCTACAAACATGTTTTAAACTGCAGAAGGCCAAGCTCTCCAGCCTCTCCCGCCCGACATCAGCACTACAGTGACCTCACTGTGAAGCTGTGGCTGTTGGAGCAGCAGGCAGGTTGTTTTGCAAAGTCCACACTGCTCTACAAAGAGGGGAAAGAAGGCAGGACACTGAGACCCTTGGCAGGCAGGGCCCGACAAGTGGCACTGCAAGGGGTGTTGGGTCAGTAGGAAGCTAGCTGCCCCGCACGTAGGCTTCCTGTTGCCGTCCCTCCCAGATCAGCATCCGGCCGACACTGACTTACTGTGACATCAAGATGAGGCTCCGGGCTCAGAGAGTGGGCAGCAAGGTGGCCGATTCCCACAGCAGAAGCCCCAGCCCTCGGCGTCTCCCTGTAGCAGCCATCGACCGGCCAGGACTACCCAGCCAGCAAGGATGGAAACAGCTCTGGGGCTTCTGGCAGCAATACAGTGTCTCTCAGCAACTGGCCGCGTCACCCCACCAGGCGCAGGCCAGGGGCAGGGGCAGGGGCAGAAGTCTCCACCCACGGCACACCCATTGTTGGAGAGTGGGGCGGGTCCCCATGCAGCCAGGGTGAAGCACGGAATCGACAGCACGGCCACTCCTTTTATGCAGATTACTTCGTTCTCAGAAAACCTACTGAGCAGGGGAAAATGGAGGTGAACATGCGATCTGTTAATTTCCCAAGGACATCTAGCAAGTAAGTGGTAAAATACAGCAATGTCACACTCCAAATCCTGCGTTATTTTCACCCTCACACCATCAGCCTTTTTCCAC